GGGCCAGCCCGGATGAAAGTTAGCGAGATCCTATCTCAAAAAACAAGTCTGTAATTCCTGCTACTCAGGAACATTGGTAGGAGCACCAAAGTCCGAGACCAACTCTACACAAAATGTATAAGATCCTACCTGAACAATAAAGCAAAAAGTTATGACTCAACCCCAACACTGCCAAGAAAGAAAGGAAGGAAGAGAGGCAGGGAAGGATAGAGACAGGAACAGAGGGAGGACAGAAGGAAGGATGGAGGAAAGGAGACAAAGAAAAAATTCCCACCTGTCCTCCAAGTTATAAGTATTTGGATATGGTGAACTTTGAAAAATAATTCAAAGTTAACTCAAAATTAACTCAGAAATAATTCTAAGTCAATGAAGGATTCTTTATGATCAGTGACATTTCCTGAATTTGTATTTAGGATGGGATTGAAGCAGCAAGGTAAACGAAAATGGGATGGCTTGGTGCTTCACTTAAAGACGAGAAAACGTTGGTGTGTTGAATGAGGTGTCAGTGAGCAATGCTGGCCAGATGGAGATGAGTGATGGCAATGGACTATCATTCTGCTGTCCACTCCGGCCACCTCCTAGTCCATTAAAATATCTGGGGCATTTAAACAATAGCCATGCCTGGGTTCCTCCTCAGAATAATGGAATCAGATTTTCCCAGGCATCATATATTTTCAAGCTCCTAGCTGATTCCAAAAAGCAGACAGGGAACCTATGATTATGCAACCAGGGGCTATGAACATGGGGTGTGCAACTCTCATTTCTAGAGACTCAAACCTAGAAGTGATATAAGGCATTTAATTAATCTTCAAGTTCAAGTTCACATAAGATGTTTTTAGACATCTTATTTTCTCAAGTGATTCTCTCAAGAGCCCTACAGGATCACTGCTGTGTTACCTCCCTATTGCAGATAAGTAAACAGAGACTCAGAACAAGCAAACAGTTGTCTGAAAGCATAACTAAGTGCTAGGGCCTGTGGGTTTGAAATACAGGAAATTATGTGTGCTGTGCAGGGTTAGTTACTTAATATATGTGAATGCCAGGATGGTTTTGCATAAAATAAAGGTAATAATACAGATCCTACAGCAGGTATCAATGCTCACTCCCTTCTCTTTGAAAAAGCCCATGCCCAGAACAGAAAGACTACATTATCCTACATTATTCTATACTACATTATCTTCATAAACCTGTGGACAAAGCTCTTTCTGACTGACTCACCCTTCTCACCACATCCTTTACAAAAAGATCAAAATCAGATAAGAGCATTGCATTCTCAGAAGGGTGTAGGATGTCTGGGTAGAGCACAGTGCTGTGGCCATGTAGTAAGCCCTTCATTCTGTCTTGCTGATGACCCTTCCTGACTCTGACTCAGTGTAGGTCACTAAGATCCCAAATTGCACTTCTTCAATGCCAGAAGAGTTAGGGCACTCATTAAAACATTTTAAATTCTTTATACAGTAGATTACTCACGTCTTTCAAAAACTACGAATAGAATATCTTTTAAAACTTCCATTAGAATTGGAGAACATCATTCTGAGGGAGGTTAGCCTGGCCCAAAAGACCAAAAATCATATGTTCTCCTTCATATGCAGACATTAGATCAAGGACAAACACAACAAGGGGATTGGACTTTGAGCACATGATAAAAGTGAGAGCACACAAGGGAGGGGTGAGGTTAGGTAAGACACCTAAAAAACTAGCTAGCATTTGTTGCCCTTAATGCAGAGAAACTAAAGCAGATACCTTAAAAGCGACTGAGGCCAGTAGGAAAAGGGGACCAGGAACTACAGAAAAGGTTAGATCAAAAAGAATTAACCTAGAAGGTTAACACACGCACAGGAAATTAATGTGAGTCAACTCCCTGTTTGGCTATCCTTATCTCAACCAGCAAAAACCCTTGTTCCTTCCTATTATAGTTTATACTCTCTCTACAACAAAATTAGAAATAAGGGCAAAATAATTTCTGCTGGGTATTGAGGGGGTGGGAGGGAAGGGAGGGGGCGGAGTGGGTGGTAAGGAAGGGGGTGAGGGCAGGGGGGAGAAATGACCCAAGCCTTGTATGCACATATGAATAATAAAACAATAAAAAAAAACTTCCATTAAAATTTTAAAATACAGATGTGACAGATCAAATAATTTACAAAGGTTTACACACAAGCAATCACCGATGAGTCTTCCTCAGCCCTTCTCTGTGTCCTATGTGTTAGCCATTGGCAAAGGCCTTTACAATTTTGCTCTGAGGAGCTCTACTGGAGAAGGCAATAAAATGTAAGAAACATAGTAACATATTTTTAACTTTTAAAACCATTTTGTCAAGAAAGTTATATGGATTACTGTTCATTAAGGAAACTATTTTATAGAATCTGTGATCTAGAAGAGACTTATTTGAGCCAACTGGCTCATTTGTCAGGTGAAGAAACTGAAGCCCAAAGACTACCAAAGCTTTGTCCAAACCTACATGGTGAACAGCAGAGTCAGGACTGGCTACCTTCCTATCTTATCGATCGGAGGCAGGAAGCTTTCCAAGGGACTGTCCTCTGTCTTGGGGTCTCCTCGCTCTGTACATAAGAGCTAGCCGAATGTCAGGACAAAGGGAGTCCTCCATAAAGTCAGTTTATTTTATCCCATCTCATGTGTTTAAAGGAGTGAAGTGACTGTATAAGCAAGTGTTTAAAGTAGAGATACCCTTGGGGTGGACAATTTGTCCTATATAACCATAACCAAGTATTTTATTCCCTATAAATATTAATACCCAAATATTGGTATTAAGAATCCACACACCCAAATATAATACGTCTGATCCTAAAGTAACTTTCCACTTTATTATACAAGTAATTATATATCCATATTTCATGACATTTTATAGTTTGTAAGACATTTTCATATGAATCAGCTTATTTCACACTTAATGCTGCAAACAAAAGATACTGATACAACCATTTGTAAATAAGCAAAGGCCAAGTACTCCTCCAGTGTCACACAGCTCAATAATAGCAGCACGAAACTGGGCAGAGGCTTCTCAATTCTTCCCATGCCAGGACTCTTGCAGTATTTGGTGTGCATTGTTTGCATCATCAGGTGATGGAGGCTCTTATCCTCTTCTCTACCATCATAGAGGAGACAACTTCTGCATTTGTCCAGAGAGGGCCACCGGTGAATGAAAGTCTAGTAGCTTCTTCTTCTTTCTTTGTTCTCAGAAATTGCTCTAGAAGCATAAGGGGGAAGGGGGTGCTGTGGAGTGATACACAGGGTGAAAAAGGACCTGTAGCTCAGTCCAACTTCTTCCATAACTTTCCTGCAAGTTTCCTCAAGATCACATAGATCTAGTCCGAATTATACCCCTTTAATGTGCACTGCCAACATCCAAGCTGCTGACCTTTGTGGTCCCACCAAACTATACAAAGCCTCTGTGGCACCCAATACCTTTTAACATCTTCATACTTGTGTACCATGATACTCCAATGGCCTAAACACCTTCCTTACATCTAAGTCTGGAAGAGCCAGACATTTGGCAAGACCCAGCTCCAGCACTGTCTCCTCTATGCAAGTTCCCTAGGTCTCTAAGGCAGACTTAAGATGTTTTATTTTATGTATTTGTCTTTACAAAGTACTTTGACAACAGCCATCATAGAGGGATGCAGAAACTACTCTTCTTAGTTTTAGAAGGGATTGGGTTTCACTGAGCACAAAGGTTTTTGAGTTTTGGGGTTTTTTTGTTTTTTTGGTAAATAGTGGTTGGGTAAATGGATGGGTGAATAATGGACATATGAACAGCAGAAAGAGCTAGAAATGTCTATGGCTCAGTGGAATACAATATACCAACAGTTTAGGAAATAGAATTTCTAGACAGGGGTCTTATGGTGGCTGGGTGATCTTGGGTACATAATTTAACTTCCCTGAGAATCATTCTCTAACTGTGAAATCCACTCTTTGCCCTGCTACACTCAGCTGGGAGCCCCAGGAAGCTGATGGAAATAAATCATATCAAGAGCTCCTCACCCTTGACTTCCTGTTGAGTTTGGCCAGAGAGAGACAGCAGCCAGCAGGAGATGCAGGGCAGGAGGAAGATGAGGTGGGGAGGTTTAGTCCACCCACACCACTCCCTCCCTTCAGTTCTGACAACTGAAAGCCACAGCACCTTTTCCACCAGCCCTGTCCCTAAGTCCCAGTGACCACTCACTCCCCTGGCCTCTCCAGGGAAGGTAACACTAGTCTTTCCCACCAGAGGTAAGGTACACAGAGGTACCTCACTGTCCTTTGTGGATTACCTTCACTTTGTCCACAGCTTCACAAGGGTCTCTTTATTAAATTGTTCTCAAATTACCCAATTTGAGGGTGCCATCTGTTCCTTGCTGGACCCCTAGCTGATAATAGTAGGAAATATCCTTCATACTTCCCAGGGTCTTAAGTAGATTAAATGTGATCATTGAAGTAAAGCAGTTAATGTATACTCCCAAGGCTCTCTACTGCTAATTTATATGGTAAATTCAGCTAGTGATATCTCTTTTCTGGGTGAATACAAAGCTCAGATAAAATGCTGTGGCCTATGTGAAGTGGTATACAAATGAAATTTCCAGTAAATATTTCATGGAAATGTCACACTTGGAAATGAGAAGCGTCCCTTCTCCCACATGCTTTGGCAAGCCTGTGGACTCCCTGGAGCAGAGCCAAATGAGCTGGGTTACATGCCCCCGCACCCACGGGAAGCACACAATTGCACGCCAGGGAAAACCAGGCCGAGTGCATGTTTGCTCAGCTCCCTGGGGCAGATGGGATGAATGCTGACAGAAGGAGGACAGCATGTCAGGGAAAAAAAACCTCCCCTCCTCCAACCCGTTCCAGAAATAAACCAATTATTGACCTGACCTGGATTGATTCTCTTTCCATCACCTGCAGTCAGCACCTGCATCCAATTTTAACAAGAAGCAATGGGAGCAAGTTGAACAGAATTAAAACATGATGTGTTAGCCCTAACAGAGACTTTGCCTTTGCTTCCACAGGTTGAGTTGAAGATCCCTCTTATTTTCCGGGTGCCAACAACTATGAACAGTCAGTAAGTACTGTGACATCTCTGTGACCCGCAGCTCTTATCTCCTAGTGGGGACAGGAGTCGTGACCTGGAAGAGACACTAATAATGGTGCCACTGTGTCCTAGTGGGAAGGGGATTTTCTGAGAGGCTGGGGTGGAAGATCAGTGCTTCAGTGTTTGGAGAACTTTCCCATAATGGCATTTTTTGTGAACAGGCCACTTGTTCTGGCTCAGCATGAGATGAGAGGCCCCAGCACCAACACACCAAAAGGTACCCAGAAATATCATGGGTCACTTCACACCCAGGCGTGTGATAGTGCAATAAAAACCAATGGCTCCTTCACATGTTCCTAAAGTAGAAACCCTGAGTCCAGCCCTCTTTCTCTCTGAGGACACCCACAATCAGTAATATGATTGATTTACGGTAACAAATGTGCATCTGATTCAGGAAAAAAAAAATCCATCCCTGATGCTTATGAATAGAGCAAAAACACAGCAGGCCTCAAAGGTTTAAGGAGTATTTACAATGCAAAAAATAGCTTTAGCCTGAGAAACTTTGGTATACTAACTCTAAAATTTATTTACTTGTCTATTGACTGAATTTCCAGCATGGTTAGATAGCATTACTACTCTGGAGCAACATGAGAAGCAGATAGATTGTGTGGAAAGAGCATGACTCTCAGAGTCATCCAGATGTCTTCCAACCCCTTGCTCCATCACTTCGCAGCTATGTGAACTGAGGATGTTACCTAACCCTGAGAATATCTGAGAAGCTTCTCAGTGCTCTGGAAAACAGGATCTGGCCAGGAGGAGGAATGTCCAGGTTCTGGGTGATCCCTGGGTCCTAGAGGGAGCCTGGGGACAGCACAAGATGACAGGCAGTGATTTACACCTCACAAATGGATACTTGTTTCAGAGTGACACAGAGGGAACCATGGGTGCCATAGAAATCCTAGCATTATGACTGCCCACAGGTGCCCACAGGTGTCAAAAGTTGGGCAACCTGATCCATGGCCAAGCCCACAGGATGGGGAAGCTGGAGCTTGTGCCATTCCTCTTGCCATGAAATACGTAGAGGGAGCTTCCTGGGACACAGTCCACACATGGATTTCTCACTGACCCAGAATCCAATTCACAGCGCATCTCTCCTGGGACAGGTATGGATGGTGATCTTTACTCTGTGATCACTACAACAGAACTGTATGGCAATATTCCCAGCTTCTCTGAGCATTGGCTTTCTTGCCCAAGTGACTTATCTGGAATGGCACAGAATGTAGTGATGAAAGTCAAGTCCAACTCCAAATTGAGTGCTCCTTCCAGGATTCCACCATGGTGGGGAATGGAGAGGTTGCAAGGAAGGGAGGCAAGGCTGCTAGTAGTTGGAGTGAGCTGGTTGAGCTGAAGTTGCAATAGCAAAGGGGATGAGTCCTTAGAACTAAGTTATAACAAGGGATTAAAAGTGGCAAATAACAGTTTCATTGCAATGCATTTGAATTAGAGGGTTGTGGCAATGAGATAAACAGTAAGCCCAGTGTATATGTGTCTTACAGCTGCTGTAACAAATTACCATAATCTGGGTGGCTTAAAAAGACTGAAGCATATGCTCTGAGTTCTAGAGGGTAGAAGTTCAAAACCAAAACATTGGCAGGACCATGCACTCTCTGAAGGCTCCCAGGTCTGTGTCCTCTTGGTGTTGGCTTCATGTCAAGCTTTCTAAAGGGTAGTTTAATGATTTCAGCTTTATAGTCACCTCAGATATGAAGCTGACAAGTCACTGACTAGAGGACAGTCCAAACCACCAACACTTCATTCACATTACTTTTTTCCTCTTAGAATGAACTAACGTGAGCCTATTGTTTGCCTGACTTATATCTCCACATTAAGAACCCACTTTCCTAAGTAACACTTCTTTCCTGAAACTCAGAGCATCCTTTTCCTCCCTCATCCCCATCAATCCCAAGCTTGTCTTCAACTTCTTCTTAAGAAAGCTCAGACCAGCAAATCCACTGGGATTGCTGCTGGTACTGAAATGAAAAAGAAAACATGAAAATGAAAAAGACACACACACATGCACGCACACACGCACATGCACACAAGAAATGCATCGTGGTACCACACAAACAGAAAGTTAGCTGCCATCATATATTCGACATTGCTCTCATCCTCCATGGTATCCTGTCCAGGGTTTCTTGATCTGCAGGATTTTGTCACTCGAAGTGACAAAATTACCCAGAAGCTTATTGGAAATGCAAAATCCCAGGTGCATAACAAGGCCAGATATGCTGAATTAGAACCTGTACTTTTACAAGCTCCGACGGCACAGGACTTAAACAAAAGTTCCCATGGCCATTTCCTCCCCAGCAGACTGGAGATGGATCTGTCGTAGTCTCCAAGACATGCTCAGAGTAAGGCAGCACATATCACTCTCTGTGTGAATGCATGGCCCCCACGCGGGTTTTTCTGCTGTACCTGTGGGGAACATCCCCTTCCTCGGTGAAAGTTGTTAACTCAGCTCATTCAAGACAGCAGATTCTAAACCCGAAGAGATATTAGAATTATCAGGGAGGCTCTAAACAAAAAGCCACTTTAGTGCTCTAACCCAGACCAAAAATTCAGGTCACCTGAACACCTGTCTTATTTTTCAATTCTCTTCTCCGTCTAACATGCAAAATAACGTCTTCCAATTCTATCACCTGGAATTTCTTACAATTCTATAACTGGGATTCTAAATGACCTTGGTAACCAGGACTAATTCCTTACTATCTGTCTTAGTCTGTTTGGGCCATTATAAAAAAATGCCTTCGACTGGGTAAACAACAGAAATTTAGTTCTCACTGTTCTGGAGGCTGGGTAAGTCTAAGAACAAGGAGCTGAAGTATGTGGTGTCTGGCGAGGGTCTGCTTCCTGCTTCGTAGATGATACCTTCTTGCTGTGTCCTCACATGGTAGAAAAGGCAAGACAGAGCTTTTATAAGATCACGTAATGCTATTCATGAAAAATCCACCCCTATGACCTAATCATTTCCCAAAGACTCCACCTCTAGTACCATCATCTTAGTGATGGTACTTAGTGATTTTGGAGAGGCAGAGACCTTTAAGCCATGTGGTATTTCTCATTAAGCACTTTTAATGTGAATTAATGAAGAAGTATAAATGAATGGATGACACAGGAATAGTTACCATATACACACGTGTGTAGGTATGTATATACATACCTACGTATTACACAGGTATATAACACACAACTTATACAGGCACATGGACAACACAATCTAAATATCTGCACAAATTATTGTAAAAAGTTGTGTCAGTTCTGTCAAAAGCATTTGTTTACTGAAGATTTATTGTTTGGGCACTGAGCTACATGCCTCACTTGTAAAGATGAAGAAGATTAGATCTGACCTTCAGCGAGCATTAGCCATTTGTTAAGCACATCCTTTTGATTTGTGAAGAAAATGGCAGGAAAACGTCACAAGAACTCAGAAGGGGCCGGATGTCATGATACTAAGTTGCTTCTGAAATGAGTGGGCTATTTCAAATTGACTTTCTGTGCAACAGACTCCCCACTTCCCTAACAAGCCATTCAACTGCATAAATTCCTTCCTTGGAGCACTGGTGTTGTGAGAAAAGAGATGGGCATGCCAGCTGCCCACTACACAGAGTCCTGGGGAAGGAGGCTTGGGGTTTGGTTTCCAGAGTTCTTTCATGATTATGGACAGGACAGTGACAAGCCTTGATACTATATTTCTGCATGTTTTGGAAAAGATGAGGTCCCTGTAACGATTGATCCCAGGCCCTTTCTAGTAAACCATACCCTACTCAAGCCAGGACCTTCTAGGGGTTCAAGTGGACAGTACTTTTCCACATCCCAGGCTGGAAACTGAGAGAACAAACATCCAAGTGTTCACTTTGAAATACACTACAAGGATGTACAAGTAAACTGGCTTTGTTTGTTGTTAAAATTCTTCCTAGTCTTGATGGGAATTTTAGAAAATATTCAAAAGTACAAAGAAGAAATTGAAAATCACCAATTACCCCAGAACCAAGAAACCACCACTGCTGTGTTTCAGAGTTCTGAAGTCATTTTTCTACCTTTATATATGGAGTATTTAAAATTTTTAGGAAGCTTTTAAAACTTACAGTGTTTTTGGTGTTTTCAGTCATCCTATACAATAATACTGTTTTTTATTACAAACATTGTCTAACATGTTTAAATTTTCTTCAAAATCGTGGTACCGTACCACTACCATTTAAATAAGATTGACAAGCCCTTCACCATAATTTCAAAGACAAAAGGCTTTGAAATGCTAAAAGAGTTTTGCAACTAATTTGACAGCAAAGTGTGACCTGCATCAAGGTGGTTATGTATGTTTGTCATCAGCCTCACTTAGCAAGTCTCTTTCCCTGTTTCACTTCAGAAATAGTACAGTTAATCATCAGGGATTGCTCCAGACCTCTGTGGGGACATTTCAGAGTACACAGTGACTGGGCCATGTTGCTTTTCACCCACAGTATTCTGAATCCCTGGTCCTAATGAGTTTGGATAACAGATGGTGGACCTGTGTTCTAATCGGTATTTATTTTATCTTGACCTTGGTGTTGGATAGTTAAGTTGTTACCTATAGAAATTTATCACTAAGAATAAGCTCAACTCCAGGAATATTAGGGTAGGCTGTATAAGTGTCTCCCAGCAGCCTTTGAGCCCTGTCCTGCCTGCCATATGTGGCACAATTCCACTCTAGCAGTCTGGTGTTACACAGAAACATAAGCTCAAGGGATCTGATGATAATCTAGTATTCTCTCTCTCTTTCACTCTCTCTCTCTTTTTGCATTAGGGAACATATCATTCATATTTGCTTATTTGGGAAAGGTTTTTGACAGCAAACGAAATGAAACTGTAAAATAGAGCTGTTAGGCCTAGGGAAGAGAATTTCCACACATAGCCATCTTAGCAGCACCTCTATGAGACAGAATTGAGGCCTTTCTCAAAGACCCTGTGGATAAAGAACTTTCTACCTTCTGAGA